TTTAACTGTTTCGACAACTCTAAAAGCGTTTGAGCTGGATTCTCAAGCAATTCTTGCAGCTCGACATCTTCAAATTTTTTCGGCTGTCCTGGATGTTCTTTATCTCTCACATCAAAATCACCGTTTCGGAAGCGTTCAAACCAAACTCTACATGTTCTTTCCGATGGAGTTTTATCACCACACACTTCGGATAATAAGCGATGTGCTTCAGCTGCGGTTTTCTTGAGGTCGAAGTAGTGAAGAAGCACATGTCGGAAAAACAGCTGATCACGATTCATTTTCAATCGATTGGAAAATCTCTTTGGCGTCGAGAAATCTAACCTGTGAGGATTGAATCATTTTCAGCGATGTATAAACTACAAAAGACATGTGACTTCATCGTCGAAACTCATCAGCGTTGGAGGCAGTAGCGAGCGATAGGAATTAAGTTTAACACCTAATACATTCTATAGAATAAGTATTTGCGTCGAACTTTTGGATTTTCTTTCGAGTTAGGCAATCGAATGATCCTGTGATCGATCAAAATCAAGATTCTTTCATGCTCAACATTCGTTTTCATAATCCCGACGATTTCGACAGGTCAAATTCTATGGCAAACTTTCTCTCATACTCACACGTACATACACATGTCGCGAAACTTTCTCTATCGATCTAGCGTATTAACAAAGTTTTCTGTCAAGTCGGACGTTGAACCGGCGCCATAATCGCCGAGACGTTTATTCACCGTCGCGCGGAAACACGTGCCAACTTTTATTGGAGGAAGACCAAAAGTTTTTCCACCCCGTCAAGTGAGCCGTGATCATTAAGGAAAAAAGTCGACGGTAGAAGAAGGACGACGAAATTGCGGCATTAGCGAACTCGGTTCACTCACTCCTCCTGCTCTTTCTTCGCTTCCCCCCCACACTTCAGAATCGTCCTTTCTTCGCCCGCTACGTTGGCATTAAAGCTCAAGAGAAGTGCGACGGAGGGCGAAAACGGGGTGCAGGGCAGGGCGAAATGATGTATCACCGTAGCCGCCAAACTCTCCACCGAATTTCATTACCAAATCCCATAACCGACGTATCCCATCCCATCGCGCCGTCACTTCTTTTCCCACCCCATCTCATCCCACAATCCACCATCTTCCTTTTTCCCTTACTTTCCACGCCGTTAATTAAGCGGCTGTTGCAGGACGCGACGGACGCGTTCCCGGCGTACCTCTACCTCTACCTGTATTCCAAATTGCGTCGGCTAGAAATTATAATCCGCTTGTAGATTGAAAGCCGAGCGCGGCCGTGTTGGCGACCAACGGTTATTAAACTTTCACCCTGCGCGCGTCGTAACTGCGCGTTTTAATATTATTCACAGCGGGACTGGAAACACGCTTCGACGTCGAATTATTCGAATACAACGCGAATATATTTCAACTATAAATATATTAAAAAAAAAAATTAATTTCTATATTATATCGACTCTCTCTAACATTATAGACTTTTATTTGTAGTACCGATTAGAATAGCGTTTATGTAGCATGATATTGCATCGTTTTTTCTGCGATTTTAGAAAGCTCAGTCTATGATAAATAACGAATGTTTTCAGTAACAAAAACGGACCGATTCGCTGCATCCGCTCGCAAATAGATCAGTATATGATGCATTTGGTTACATATGGGCGCACTCGTCTGCAGCGTCGTAGGGGCCTAGCAGTTTCGCGCTTGCATCTGGAAATCTGGGGTTGAAGTTTAACTCAAGTTTACGGTCGGTGTGCGAGGTAGGATAATACGTATACGTCGGTCGCGGTGTTTTTATGGGACTTTATAGGGTCGTTTTAACATCGACGCGCGCGCTCGCGCCGCTTCGATTCCAATTCTCCGGTGATATAAAACGACACGCTCTGGATGGCGGGGTTGGCTTTTTTCCCGACTTTTTCTCCGGCACGCCGTCAGGGGTTGCTCGCATTCGGGCTCGCGATCTGCGCAAACACACACACACACACATTCTACAACAGGGGAGAAGAACGGTGAAGGGAATAAGTGGAGAGGTTCGAATGAATCTTTATCGTCGAACGTCGAGCTCCAAGTTTTCATAACGCGCTCACTCCCTGCTGGGAGCCGATTTAATTCCCCCTTTTTCTGATTTTCAGTTTGACTTGCCGGCTTAAGAGGGAGGGTCTTCGTTTACGTACGATGGATTATATATCGCGTTGGGAGTAGGAATGATTGAAAGTCTGTTTCAGTTTTATCGGTCACGAGAGCGAAGTAGAAATTGCAATTATTCGAAGTAATTTATCAAAAGTAAAAGTTTCGCAATACGTTAATTGCATTATTAATTTCTTTCGCATGATACAAAATATTTAAATTCTAATTACATTCACTATGTAATAGATAAAATTTTTGATAGAAATATTTAAGCAATTGTGTTTGAGATGATTTAAAATACATACTTTTAATCATTTTGAAAGCTCTCTATACATTTAAATAAGGGCAAGTAAAATATTAATCGGAACGTTTTCACTAGTAGGTAAAATGTAGTTCAGTCGCTCAAGGCTTAATTAACATAATTAAATCCAATCTCATTACCCGATTGGAAATGTCAATAGGCATATTTAACGCGAATCATCACGCGTCATGTAATTGTTAAATTGATTGTAACACCAGTCTGTTCAAATGTAGGGCGCGGTTTACGCGATCTTTTGTCGCCCTAAACAATTTCCTCCGTAAATAGTTTCCCCCGGAGCTCAATCGATCACTTTTGTCCTCGGCGTCGACGTAGTATGCGGCAGTTACAGTAACATCCCGAGAGCACCGAGAAGCGATTTTACGGGCGACGAACTCCAATTCACCGCCCTATGCGACAGCCACCCTCTACCGAGTTTTCGTTGCAGGTGGCAAACACTTAAAAATTCTTCCAATGTGGATTTCGCTGCACGCGAGTGTGTTGGTTTTTGTTGCCTACTGCGGATATCGTGTTGTGTAAACAGATTAGTACTACCCCGTCTGACAGGTTTATTGGATTTGTATTCTTTTCTGAAGACGTCTGTTTACATAGGATGTTTCTGCGAGAAATAATCTTCTGTTAAGGAAGTAAGTATGGGGGTGAAATGAAGTAAACATAATTCATCCCACGCAAAATGAAAAGGCAAATGTCGGTTAATGAGATATCTACAATTTAAGATATTATATAAATAAAATGGGGAAGTGAAAGCGGAGAAAGATCTTGCATAAATTTTATATCAAGAATTGACATGAATTAGTCCAATTGTATTAAGAAAGATAATAAATCTTCAGACACATTTCTTCGGCTATACTCGTCGTAGCGATTCGACGCGACCATCTCAGATCAATCCGCCGGTTCGTACCTTCTTATCGTGGCGACGATCAATAAAGTCCCGGGAAGAAGAAAGAATCCGTTCTCCCTTCGCTGGCTGTGACGATGATGACGACGACGATGATGACGAGAACGAGAATGTTACCACGACCGGGTGCGGCTGATGGTAGAGGTAGCGATGGTGGTGGATATAAAAAGAAGAAGCGTAAAAGAAGCCAGGCTATAACCCCTCTTCTGGAGGGGTTGTTGGGGGAGAACGGTGGTGGTAGACACCGAGTTGATAAGGGTTAATTTCGTACGAGAGGAAAGCGGAGCCACGGTTGCGCGCAAGCAGGGAGAGAAAGAGAGAGAGAGAGAGAGAGAGAGAGAGAAGGAGAGAGCAGAGGCAGCCTTGCGGTCCAACGACTGCGTCCGGTTGTGATTCTTGCGCCTGCCCCGGGAGTGATGTTCGTTGCCTCGGTGGAGGATCCTTATTCTTCTCTCTGTTTTTCCCTTGGGGCCACCCTTGCACCCACTTCCGTTGGTTGGTCGCGCAAGCGCATTTCGATCCCATTCTGCTCAGTCCGCATCAACGCCTTGGCGTAACGTAACGGCGTGATCTCGACGGATTTTTATGCTCGCATTGAAAAAAGTCATTTCGCGAGACTGAAGCTAGAACTCGAGAACATAGACTTACGACGTTCGTCTACCCTGTAGACATAGTTACAACAACCGACGATGCCATCAGCGTTCCTTCTTAATGATGCTGCGTCAGTGAGACCAATATGGAGTGGATCTATCCTGCAATTTTACGAATGTCACCTTTACAGGTGCAGTATTCTAGCTCGTGCGGTACTAAGTGAGAATCCTCAGGGGATTTAGAATTATTTACCTACACCTATATTAAAATTCTTTCTGCGCTGCGATAATAAATTGCATTACTCATAATTAATTTTAAGAATTTAATGTTTCAACAAAAAAATATATTTTTAATTAAGGTAATAAGAAGACAAAGACAAATAGATAGATTCATCATCGGTATAAATTGAGTTTTATAAAATTGGTCGTTTATTATGAGCAAGTTAGCAACGAATGTCTTAACGAATGTGCTTAAGTGAGTAAGGTGGCGTTTGGAAACAGCCGCAAACGACGAACTACATCTTCCAATTACTACGTCGCCCTCTTTCACCGGGGTTTAACGACGAGAACGTTTATTGCTCGAGCCATTGACTGCAGGCATTCCAAGTCGACGGGGAGACTTTACGCGTTCGCGTGAAAACCCCGGAAGCCACAAAATGGATCCAAAGATTTTACGCAAATCTACCGTTCTCCCCTTGAAAATCGGGTTAAACTGCCGTCGTCAGGACGGACAAGTTGCCTTACTGCCATCGTAGATTCATTACTATCCTCATCACCCTCCTCTTTTGCTTTCGCTTCTCGTCGTTTTCGTGCTTCTCCCTTTTCGTTGAGAATTATTCGGCTCCTCTTCCCTGCGTCAATCGGCGCGCACGGAGAATAATTATTCTCTGTAGGCTTACAGATAAAAGATCCCCTTAGCCTATTGCCCCGCTGAATATCTTATCCCTCCTGCTTTCTAACACGTCTCGTAAATCACGGTAATTCGGAAGTGTCGATGGCCCCCGCGGCGATTCTTCGTGAATATGCGGATAATAGCGTTTCAAAAGCATTATAAATGAAGTTTCGTTTCAGAGAAATCTTTCAGAAATTATTAAAATATTTTCGATTTTTGTATTTATAGGAATTTATTTTATATTTTAACATACAATAGTATTTATCAGTAACGAAAATATTATACTTTTTTCTATATTAATTTTATTAATATGTAATTTATTATTCGCCCAATAACTAATTTTAATATCTATCTTACAAAAGTTTAGTGTGTAGTTTCCAGAATTTTTCCAGATAAAAATATATGTTAATTGTACTTTAAACGTATATTTAAATTATTAATATGTTAACATTAATATTTTCTATTATTACAAATTTTTTTATTAATTTACTGTATTCTTAAAGCAATTTTTGAACAATTTTGAAGCTGTGCGCGGAAATAAAATAAATTCAAATATGTATTGATTAGAAGGAATTTTAATTAGAGAGATAAATTTATTTATAATTTGAATTATGAATCCGATTATCTGTACCTGTTGCAGAATAATAGCTTGTTGTGATAATTAATAATTTTTATTATATGAAAAATATTTAATACTACTGCTATAATATTGCTCTAATTATTTAACAAGTTAATTACATTAGCTGAATTGATATTCTGTCACGCTTCTTGATCTATTACCGACGATATTTTCATTTCGCAAAAGATGTTTTCCGGGATGATAATGAGACTGAGGAAAGGCCGACACTTTCAAAAAGCATGAGGAGTTAAAGCACGGAAATGTCGGGCTAAATACGATTTAACCTTGCGGCAGGATTTCAAATGGAACACTTGCTTCATTAAGAAGCTTGGAACGTCGTCTGAATAATAAGTGAGAAAGCCGGCGGCGCGGGATTAGGGCGAATAAGTCGTATTTTAATTTCTACAGCGCGCCGAGGACTTATCGTCTTTCACAATTGCGCTCCGAACAGGAAAAGCCTTTGTCGATTCAATTTCAAATAGATGCCGGCAAATTGAAGGTAATTGGATTCCGGTTTATTAAGAGATACTTTATTGGTGTGCGCAGATGGTCTCAGCAAGAAGAAGAAGAGGAAACTAGGAGGCATAGGCGGCATTTATTCCGGCGTCTCGGTTTCGCAACTTCTGGCACAACGGGAGAGAGCTATTGCCGCGGTTGCGGCATCTGGAGTTCAAGGTTCACCGGTGCCTAATGGATCGCAGGTAATTGAGTCGTAGTTTTAATTAAATCGCAAATTACTCGCCTCCTTTTTGAGCCAGCAATTGTGCTTTTTACTGAATGTTTGATACAATATTGAATAATATAAATTTGTATTTTACTCATTTTTTAATTTTTTAAAAAGTCAGTTCAATTGTAATACGAGTTACTAAACATCTTGTCTGGTAAACAATATATATTATTATCTTTATATCATTAACACTTATTCAAGTATTTAAATACAATTATTTTATTTTTAGGTATGGCCAATCGCGATTCCAAATCTGCAAGTCCAACAAAACGGACAACAAATCTGTCATCAATCTTTAAGTTCGCCTTCCCAGAATCATGACGTGAGCAGTTGTGCTAGAAATCCTCAGCAGAGGTTAAATCAACATAATATGTCAGGCATGCTGATGAGCAACCCGTTGATTATGAATCAACAGGGTACAAATTTTAATAATATGACTCAACAGCAACAGCAGCTTTTACAGCAGCAACATCAACAACTTATACTACAACAGCAACAGCAGCAGCAGCAGCAGCAGCAGCAGCAGCAGCTCATTCAGCAGCATATATCGCAGCAACAGCAACAATCGCAGCAGTTGTTGCCGCATCAACAACAGTTACAACATATGCAAATTTTACAAGAACAGCAGCAGCAGCAACAGAATACTGTGGTAAATCAATTAGCACAACAGCAGACTCCTCACTATATCAATCAGTTAAATCAGCAGTCATTACATATAATGCAACAACAGCAGCAGCAGCATTTAAATCAACAGCAACAGCAGCAGCAACAACAGCAACAAATGCATTTGCAGCAAATTCAAAAGCACAATATGCAACAGCAGCAGCATTTAGCTCAGGAAGTGGATCAACAACAATCGGCAAATTACAATACTCAACATTCTGTTGAGAATTATGCGCATCACATGCAGCCGTCACAAATATCAAATCAAACCGTCCTTCATCCGCAATTGCATCAACTTCACCAACATCAAATGCAACCACAACAGTCGCAACAAAGTCAACACGCTATGCAATCTCAGTCGACGGATCCCTTCCAGATGCAGATTCATCAGCAGCTACAACAGCAACAACAACAGCAACAACAGCATCAGCAACAAATGTCGCAAGTGTGCATCCAGCCGCAATATTCAAATCAACAATTGAATCATCACTCTGTAGACATTATGCAACAGCAAACAGGTTCTGCTGTCATGAGCAATATCAATACTATCGACCTTCAAAATAGGCATAACCGAACGTCGTCAGTTGATGAAGATCTAAACGCGAAACAGTTACAACAGCAGCAACAACAGCAGCAGCAACAGCAGCAGCTTTTATTACATAATCATTCTATGCAGCGACACCATGTAGTTCAAAATGGCGGTTTGCCTAATAATCCTCATGAGAATGTTCAGCGGATGTATGCTCAGAATCAAGTACAATATCCGGCACGGAATTTTGATTCTTCGAAGGGAACGAATACGGATGCCAAAATGGGACATCAACAACAGTTTCTGTCCAATCATACGGGACGAAGCCCGAATGCCAGTCACACCGTTGAGGTGCAACAATCTGGTATGGGACCAAACGGGCAGTCCGGCAATATGCATTTCAACAATAGAACACCGCCGTGGCAACAAAATCGTGCCACGGTTGCATCCCATCAGCCGTCCGTTGTCACGGTTCAAAATGTTACCTGCAATTCGTTTGACCGTGTACCACCGCTTCATCATCACATTCCACAGCCTTCCAATTGGACGGATGAGGCTGCACGGAAAAAGGCAAAGTCGAATAAAATAATAGTGAAGAAACAGCGACAGCATGGTGTCGCCGAATTGTCGAGAACGAATAACGGATTAGAACATTCGACACCGAGTCCAGTAGATGAATTTAGCGAGAACAATCAGCAAAATAACGGTCAGATAGGTTCGACATTCAACAGCAGCGGCCCTTCGTTCCTAGAGGATCCTAGCGGGTACCTCGCTCAGCAAACGGCGTTGCTAAATAGCACAATATCACGACAGACCGGTGTCAGTAGTTCCCAAGTGGGCATGTTAAACAATAACTCGAAAGCATTATCTCAGACCAGTCATGGTATGCATATGTCTACTACTTATATTCCTCAACCAAAGCCTTCCTGTATCGCCAGTCCCACGAGTACCTCGTCATTCGCTTCCGTAAAAAATCACGCAACTTCACCGGTTGTTGTACATAGCAGTATGACACCGACATCAAGCAGTGGCACGGATTCTGAGAGCAGTCCATGTCAAGGCTGTGTCACCAGTGCCGACACACAATCCTATATTCAAGATCAATATAAGCAGCAAATGCAGCGACAGTACCTGATGCATACGGATCAGCGTGAAGATCCTGTTACTTCGTCGACGTTCGGCGAGCGATATCAAACAAATAATCAACCACAAGCTGATTCCAGACCGATACAAGGTGGTACTGTGAGCACCAGTCATGGATCTCCTATCGGCACAAATAGCCCAGCTAATTCGGATACACCAGCAGCCTCGACACCTGGAATTTCGCAGCCAGCAACCCCGCAGAGTCTTATCTCATCGCAACCAGCGACACCACATAGTTACTCGCAACCGCCGACACCTCATTCACATGTCTCGGGCCAAATGCCATCGCAGACACTAACTCCACAAGCGCAACAGCAGTTGTCGCAATCCTTGATCGGTAGCATTCAAGAACAAAGATCAGAAACTCCAAGTTCTGGTACAATGAGTTCCAGTGGTATTCCACCTAGCACGTCGCCATCACAGATGTCCTCTTCTACATCAGATAATTTAACATCACAAGTGAAACGGCAAATGACTAGGCAAAATTCTCTAGATGGCTATCAACCTCATCCACACACCGTCAATACGGTCTCCAGGATACCCATAAATACTTTTAGTGGAACATCATCCGTGATAACAACTATGGCAAGCGGTCATACAGTTAGCAGTAATACGATTACGTCTGTGTTAGCTGGAAGAGCAAACACAGCCACTGTTTCCATAAACACACCATCTGCGATACCGAATCCTGCTATACCCAGTCTTCTACCGAATAAGGTACAGCACCAGGTACAATCTACGGCATTGACAAATATGCCGGGTACTCCAGTTACAACCCACTCCTCTATTCCACTTAGTCAATCTTTGACGATGAACGTGTCTAAATCACCGCTTGAAATGGTTCAGAGCGTTGTTAGTAGTATACAAGTACCTCAGACGAGCATAAACTCGTCATTGCAGCCGCAAACGCAGCACCAACAGCAACACCAACAGCAGCAGCAGCAGCAGCAGCAGCAGCAGCAGCAGCAACAGCAGCATCATCAGCAACAGCATCATCAGCAGCATCAACAGCAGCAACATCAACCACAGCAACAACAACATCCTCAAGCTAATGTTCAAGTTCATAACGTCCTCACTTCAGGTGGTATATTGAAACATCCTGCCGGATCGACGCTACCACCTGGTCATATATTGGTATCCAGCGGTGGTCAACTCATAATGGCGAGTACTGGGTCGGCTATCAATGGTGTGATGGCGCCTCCTCCACCGAAAATCATTTCTAATGCTAATTCTATGCCACCGCTGTCAGTGTCGCCGATGGTTACCAGCGTGACCGGAGCTGTCAGTCAAGTAATCCCCGCGGTGGGTGTAGCTCAACAAGTGATAGGGCAACCCACGGTGCTCGTGAATACTATTCAAACTCCAGTGTTGATTCAACCTAGCGTAATGACGATGGACAGTATAGGCCAAAACGTGCAGATACCACATCTGACGGTTGCCACCGGTAACGTCATACAAAACACTCAGTCGATTATTGACGCTAATCAGGACGTATCTAGGACGATCGGTGCCAATCAAGGCATGACGGTAAATCGACAACCAGCACTCTTATCGCCGGAATCAACGATGACCAAGAAAAAGGCGTATAAGAAACGAAAAGCGAATCCACAAACTGTGGCGTCAATGCTACACATCGCTTCGTCCCAGCAAAACGCTGGTATGTTGATGCAGTCGCAATCAAATTTCGCCCAGCAAAACTTTCAAACTCAGAGCATAGGCGGACCCATGCTCCAGGCGCTAACTATTGTGCCTGGTAAAGGTGGGGCGCCGGCGCAACTTGTAATGAATGGTCAGACCGGCGCAGCATCCGCGCAATTCAACGCTCAACAAATAATCACGAATCCTCAACCAACTCAGCAGATAAATCTTCTTCAACCGGTAAACTTATTAAATGGCGCGGCCGGGATGGTTCAAAATTTTCCCACTATTCAGCAGTTTATCGTGCCTGGTATGGGTAGCATGGTAATGTCTGCAGACGGAACGGCCACGTTATTGCAAGATACGGGTAATATTGGGATGCAGTTTCAGATACAGAACGTCAATGGCCAGAACGTATTGACGCCGGTACAAAGTCATAGTGGTATATTTAATCCGAGTCAAAGCATATTGGCCGCTGGTCCAGCCGGTATGGTCATAAGAGCGCCGCAAGCGACTGGTGGAAAGATAATTCAACAGCACAGTCCAGGAGCGCAGTTTCTTTCGCCGAATAGTGGCCAGTTCCTAGTGAATGGTACAACATCCTTCGGGAATCAACTGAGCCCGATAGTTGCCAATGTTAGTCCGAATCAGCAAGTGACATTTAACACCTCGCAAGTAAGACCGTCAAACATGCAAGGTCAGCAGGAATTCATACAGATGAATGGACAAACGCTTATGGTACCTTGCGCGACCGCACAAAACATAGCTGTCTCATCAGCGTCGAATCAACAAAATACAACTTTTGTTCAACAGAACACGACGATCGTACAGCAACAGACGACCATGGTCTCGAACAATCAGATACCAAATTTTCAAAGCGCAGCTTCTAATGGCGGACAAACTGTCGATCCTTCTTTAAATCTCGATAACCAGTCGTATATTCTGAGTTCCGGTATGATTCAGGGTAAAGCGGCGTCATCTTCTCCGAAGAGCGGTGTAAATTCCCCGTCATCCGATCAAAATGTCGAACAACAGCAATATGTGCTCGCTAGTAGTAGTACGACCGTCGTGGAAAAAACGGCTCAACAAAACGAACAGCACAGCCCGTTGATGGCGAGGCATTCTGTATCGACGCAAACCGCAGGGAACCAAACGAACGTGGCACAATCGACGATGATGCGACAAGGATCTCCTCCCGACACAACCACTCATAGTCCAGGAAACAGTCAGAGGTCTAATAGTCCGGCTGTAGACACTACTACACACGGTGCAGCATCGCCAGCGCCTCCAATTACCGCTAGACATCATTCATCGTCTACGGTAAAGAATAATTTAAAGCAAAAGTAGTTTATTCAATGATCTAAAACGTACATTTCATCTCTTGAGAAAAAAGAAAAATTTTTTTGATTTTTTATTTCATCTTTTTTATTCTTGTAGCTAAAAACAAGATTTTTGTCTCGATAAAAGAATAATCATGTTCATTAATTTCCACATCATGCGCAATTTATTTTCAGCCTATGGTTCATTGCGTATCGAGCAGCGAACCGGACTCGGGTGACACACAGGTGGCGTCGGAGGATTGGAGAATGCAGGGTATCGCCACCAAGGAAATTACGTTAAATCAACCGAGTTTGCACGGAAAGACCTACGTAGAGTCGACGGTGACAACTGGGATCCAGGTTGGTACCCACGTAGAGCAGGTCAACCGTCATCTAACTGTAATAGACATGCACCAGCCGGCTGATACGACACACCCAGAAAACACATACGCTGACTCACAGGAGCATATGGACACTTCATCACCAAATCATTCCATTAATTCAGACACAATGGACCACTCTACCGTGGAAGATCAACTAAACGTCAGTAAAGAAATGACGGACGTTTCCTATTCAGAGATCGAGGTCAATCCGTTACCAATCATAGGTCACGGTCATTACCAACCAATCCTTTATCACGGCCAGCATTATGTCCCTAATGCGAATGTTTATCGACAGCAACCTTTAGTGCCAGATCATTCTCATTACACTATGTTGCCGCAAATTAACGGCAAGTTCGACGACAAATCGTGCGTCGATAGCAATCGTATTGGTACTCAAATCGTGCAACATGTCATGGAGCAAGACGAGATCGAGCAAAATTCCGAGGAGAAATCATTGGAACGATCAAATACCGGCGTTCCTTATTGCCCGCAGAATATTGACTATTCGCAAAAATGCGTTGGCATCGGATCATCCGGCTTATATCCACATTTGTATAATTATAGGTCTGACCCTAATGGTATTGCTGTTGTTAATTACACACCTAATAAGCAAGCCTACATTAATCCATACGTTTACAATCAATTCATATATGCGCAAGAAGGCGATGATGCTGAGGAGAGTGACTCGTCGTCGGATGAATAGTCGCACCTTTCTTTTCGCGCGGGCTATAAAATTCATATTAATTTTGTAAATTGAATTCAAACGATACCAGTGGCATTATTAAATTGCGATTGGCTTATATTCGGTAATATTAAGTTTGTAATTAGTTTGTATTTAATAATTTTTACATCCGCGCTGTGGCGTGAGAGCGCATACGCTGGTTTATTCGTAGCGTTATTATTTAAATCGTATATTATTGCAATAATGTAATTGTATTATTAATCGTGTGTTGATCGGATTAATCAGGAAATTATTCCTTTTTATATAACAACGAAAAAATAAATTTTTACTGAACAGTATTTTCTGATAAAAGTTATATGATTCTGAACATAAACCTGATGAAAAATTACCTTGCAACATAAGCATGCGTAAACAAAGTTTGAGTTTGTCTCTTTTGGTATCATTATCATTTGCATGTATCGATAAATTAAATTTGTCACGTGATTTCTGCATTAAAAGCATCGGAGACAAAGACCAAAATACTATAACTTTCAAATCTTCCAAGTATTCATTTCTTTTCTTTTAATTTTGTCTTTTATCGTTATTTTTCTACTTTTTTTTGTCTAGATTAGAATTTTGCAAAATTTGCTCTTGTCTCTTGTGCTTGATCGGGAGAAATTGTAAAGTTTTTGTGGACCATGATACGGAATTTGAAAAAAAGAAAAACGATAATAGGGCGGCATTGAATGATACACTGAAATGATATAAGCATGCGATTGGTAGGTTTGTGCCTGAGTTGATCGAGTTGTATTTGACAGATCTATACGTCAGAGACATTGAAGCAAGCCGAAGGTGTGGTGAGCACGGTGAGGTGCGAGGGCAGGGAACATGCCCTCGGCCGCGGAATCAAGCGAAAGCTGGACTCCATCCATTCCATGCATTCTACTCTGCATGAAGACCAAGATGGTCAGTATTGTATGGTACTCTTAGATATTAATCATATACGAGTAGTCTCGCTTAGTAGCAAAAATATTCTACAAAAAAACTTTGATAATGATCAGCGACAAAACAAGCAGCATAGATTTATAATAATTCAAACTGTTAAAATTCTTTACAAAATAATATACTATGATTAAATATTTTCATATATTTTCATTATTTTGCTAAATATTTCGTAAGAAAGTTTCTTTGAAAGAATATTTTTTATTAGTTGCTATTTTTGTGACAGTGAGAAATGTGAAACATCGATCGTTGTTTTACTGATTCATTGGTATTGATTTTTTACTTTACTCACGAGAGAAAGACGATGCTTTCCGTTGCTCTTTGTCATTAAATAATTATCGTACGAATGTTACTATTAAGAGTGCTTTAATTATACAACTTCGCCATCAGTAGAATCAATAATTTAGAAACATCTTGTAAATTATCAAATCATTTATATTATTCAACTTTGCTTGCCGCTTTCATCGAAAATCATTTATGCCATCATTTTTTTGCACGCTGTATAGTAGTTTATTTATTAATATATTATATCGCTTATATGCATGCTTAGTAATATCATTGCATGGTGAAGTACACGCTTGCTGCATCGTAATTGCTTTGGTAATAGTTTTTTTCGCAATATTTAGAATCTTGCGCACTAGACGCAGGCGCAAGAGTGGGCTGAGAAAAGTCGCTTCCTTCCTCATATCGAGATTTTAAGCCGAAAGAATGCACCATTTTGTGCGAATTGAGCAATCGGAGTTGAGTTCTCCGAATCAGTCTTTGATATCAACTTATTCATTGTAACATCGCATTATTAACCACGTTAACAAGTCGAGGAGAGCAGGTAAGTGGCGTCAACACTAAAAGGAACAGAGACTTTTCGTTTATTACGTACAAGTCTCCAACGAATCGCTTTGCGGAAATGAAGAAATAACTATTCTGACATTTGTAAATAATGTTTTCGATGGTTTTTTTTTGCGTTTACTAATTGGTTGTCAGGTTTGTTAATACCATTATCCTCGCAATTACATTCTCATCCGAGTGGCCAAGGGGCTTAAATCATACGTTCATTTCGGAAGGGGTGTGGCTCACTACCGTGTGTTATTTCGACATACCTTGTACATATACACCCTCATGTTTTACGTACAGCAGCATGTGCATATTCCTGAGGATGGAAAATTTTTTTCCAAATTGTTCCGCAATGATTAGGAAGCATTTACAGTTAAAATAATGAAAATATAGTATGAACGATAACTCAGGTATTAGTACTGAAATGCAGTCGATTTACGTATCTACGATAGCGTAGAAAATCCAATTTTGTTCCACTATTTAATGCGGGATCGTATTCAAAATTATATAAATTACCATAAAATTTGAATTTTTTATTCCCGTACTAACGGAATTAATAATGAATGTTGATAGTGCTTGTCCGTAACTTGAAAACCTAATTCCGACAAATAGCTATTCATTCGAATGATGTGTACAGATAAAGAGATATCTTGCGAACAAATAATGGAGAAGGGAATTATAGAATGAACAATATTCATTCGACAAAATCATTGCATGTGCTCGATCCATCTGATATTTCATTCTGCCTCTGATCTCGCCTACCATTGAATGAAGCTACTAATCATTTTTAACGAGCACACACATGCGAGCAAGAAGCACATTGTTGCGATACTACTGGACAAGTAGTTGAACCATCAGTTTCGAACATTCCTCTGCGACACGCACCATAAGCATACCGGAACATTTTGCTGTTATGCGTTGCACATTTTAATCAAAATCAACAGATGTATGAGAGGGAAATTACGCGATGTTGTATACATTTACGCGTACATTTACATTCATCATGTACAATAAAGTTGAGTCATTTTTAAGCGACAAAAATTTCATCAATTATTTTGATCATGGTAAATTTGTAAATTTTATGCCAAATGCATTTATAATCAACACTGCAAGTTCAATTTTAAAATATTCGATTAATCTTTATATGTCAGAAAAGATTCAAATAAAATTAAAAAATAAGTTCTGTGCATAATAATGCATATCAGGTTCATATCGAAATCGAATTTTTAATTTTATAAACTAATAGTAAAAGAGCTTGTTTTAATAAAAGATAAAGACAGCGATATGTTATTATATTATTATATATTAGATTTCATTATTAATTAATCCATAATTTAATATTAATTATATTATTAAATTTGGTTTATTAATTAATAAATTAATATTGCAATCTTTACATTTTCAAAATTATACGACTGCGTGACATAATTTCCCATCTAATATATCTGTATAAAAGTATTTTTTTTTCGGAGATGGGCTTTCTTTATGTTATCTTCTTTTCAATATCGCGCAAATCAGCCGAGATGATTAAAGTCTGAAAAACACCGTGCCTTCTTTCGAACCTTCAGTAGCAGAGACAAAGGACGTAAACGACGGAAACCAATGGAAACTGATGGTCGGTGATCTAGTGTGGGGCGCAGCAAGAGGAAGTCCGGCCTGGCCGGGGAAAGTCGAGTCTTTGGGCCCCCCGGGTACTATGACGGTTTGGGTTCGGTGGTACGGGGGCGGGGGTGGTCGCACCCAAGTCGATGTCAAGGCTCTCAAGTCCCTCTCCGAAGGCCTCGAGACGCATCATCGCGCCCGTAAAAAGTTTAGGAAGTGAGTCAGCCACCCCGACAGGGATGAACTATTGAAAGATGAGAATCTCTTAGAGACGTCTCGTTATCTTTAATAGATATCGCGTTAACGCAAAAATATATCGAGGAAGAAACAGAATGGGAGATGCTTGAGTATATCTTTTTTTACACTTTATATTATTTTTTTTTCTTTTTCATTTGATCCTAGAGCTGTGACATAGGCACGTTAACTTATTGTTTTATTTTAGAGTTATTAAATGTTATAAAGTGGAGCACAATGTCGCTTTCCTGGGGCTGCGTAAGATGCACGTGATGTTATATGAATTTTAATTTTACATTTTGATTAAATACAATTATATATTTAAAAAAAAAATAAAGAATGGTAAGTGCTATACGAGGTAGATCTTCGAGGATTTAATACAAGATATCCATTTTTTTGTATCGCATTATGGAAATAAGAGACAGATCATATTTCACAGAATCTCTTAATAATGGGGATTCAGTTCTAATAAATCTTTTTCTTTAATAAGAAATTTCTTACTTATGATCGTGATCGTATAGCATTTATTAACAAGCCAACAGCCAATTAAATCTATCCCGCATAATTTACTGCATAGCGGTCCAATATTCTTTCTGTTAACTTGCCAAAGAATACTGATACTTTTATGTACTGGATATTACTATATTAAGTGGTTTTATTCCAATCTCAGTCATCTTTCTTCTCATTCCCCTTCCTCTTCGTAATTGTATTAAGGATGTATTACATGTATTGTCTAACAAAATGAAAAAATTATGAAAGGATTACAGATTTGAAAGTAATATAAAAAGTTTGGCGGTGATGTAGAACCTGAATCAATAATTATTTCAAAAAGTATACATGTTTTTAAAAAATAATTAAGATAAAAATGAGAAAATTTTTATTTAAACTATAAAATTGTATTGTTATAAATATTTGACCTATTAAACTATTTCATATGTATACAACATTTATTTTTATACAGAAATTAGAAAATATAAATTTCCAATTTTAGTGCATTTTTTGCCTAAACTATATACTTGATACATCCTTAAATATGTAGCTATGATTTTATAACGGTAATCGCATAAATACAAGTGTTAACAGTATTTAATCCATAAAAATTTTCCTAAAAAAAGTATAGATATATTTTTCTACATGTAACTGATATTTACGTGGTTTCTTTTTGCCAAGAAAGTATATTATAATTAATGTTTAGCTATTTATTGTCTGATAAGTGATTTATTTATGCTTGACAGAAGCTATTTAGTCGCGATTTGTTCAGCTTTTAGATCCTAATTTTTCTTGTTCTAATCGGGATCGAATCGCACGCGCGGTCGCTGGTAATCATCTATACTAACTGTACGATTTTCTCGTTCCTCCCCTATTTTTCTAGAAGTCGTAAATTGAATATGCAATTGGAAAACGCGATACAAGAGGCGATGGCGGAACTGGACAAGATGACGGAAGCCTCCAACGACCAGAAAGATACCAAAAAGTCGCCCAAGGTGACATCATTACCGGCGACAAGCTCGAAGAGTGTCGGCGTCGGAAAATCGGAGGCCAAGAGATCATCGAAGAGAGCCGTGGCCACTGTGGACCATGCCAAAACCGAACAGAAACAATGTCGGTGATCCGTGTCGATTACGGTTGTTTGATAAATATCCGCAATCAACAACTCTCGTTGCCTGTCATAAATCGCGAAGTATCGATAATCTTCGCGCAGCAATGTAATTAGTCAGCTTTTTCAGTTTAATAAATTATTAATAATTAAATAACACAATTCTACACGAAAATTACACGTCCTATAAATTTACCGATACATTTCTGTTTGCTTCAGTCGACAACTATAAATCACAATCGTGACCATACATAGTGCCCGGTTGCAATGCGGGTACAATTTAGTGCAGCTGTGATGTGGATTCTATTACATGTAACGAATCTAACACGAGAGATGAAATTGAATCTATTGGTGCAGAAATACATGATGCTACGATGCTATGTTAATATGATACGAACGATAAAAGCGTCGCTTTAAGAATCATCTTAAAACAACGCGTACTAAATCTCGGTGATTGATATGATCTGCTGCATCCGAATAGTCGGAATTCTAAAATCATTACGAGAATTTTTATCTTAGACCAAAATATTGTACAATTTTACTCCTACATGTTAAAATTGTTTCTTATAGCTTAATCAATACGCTTTGGGACATTCTGTCTCTGATCATAATCAAAAGGCTCGTCTGATAATTTTATTAAATCGAGCAAAGAATTTTCGATTACTCGGATGCAGAAGCGACGGCCATGGAAAACGTGGCATTAAACATAGAAGTGTATTGCGATAGTGGCAAGCAAGTATCCTTTCCTGTAAATTTATCAACACAAAGCCTAAGCAACCGTAGCATCTGTTGCAACATCTTTAGCGTATTCCGTTTGTAACAAATAACATCCGTTTTTAATAGAGAAAAGAAAAACGGTCAGACAAAATTGCAAATTCGAATAATCAATAGCGACATACAGGAAATACTACGGCCGATTCACCAAAAATAGGCCTACAGCATGCATTCTTAGATTATTTATAACACACATGTATGTAATCACAGAAAGTAAATAGAAAAGCAATAGTTTCTCACAGGCGTTTCTGAATTGGTAGAGAAGAAGAATTACACTTGTCAACACACAGACGAATAATTTGTCACACGATTATTTTATTCGACGAACGCTCGTCTATCGATTCCTTTATTGAAATAATACAAAGAATGGCGTTTTGAACGCAAACTTTTTATGATAATGCATATTGAACGATTTCCCGGTTACTGCGCGCGGTTTTTACAATTTACACGTGCGATTGGGAGGCATGGATGTTTCCTGAAAATATGTACTCGCCCACGTATTCGGGCGATCGTATAGGCAAACGTGTATAGTTTTAAAAAGATATTTTTGCGAACGAACCTTCATTACACTATCCGTAGAGAATAATGCATTTTTTTAGAAAGCTATACACAGTGGATTATTGTTTTACTGTGACGATGTCGTGCTACAGGCTCGTTGAACCATTTTAAACTTATATGCGTCCACAGGACGCTTTTGATCTGCGCGATCATTTTCTTAAACAATGTTCCTCGAACAACGTTAACCTGGAACACGCTGCGACTGAATAATTCATGATTTAGTATACGGTGGCGAAGCGATCGCAAACCGCTGCAAAGTTTGGCATCCGGTGTTTTTAACGACTAACATAAGTGATTGTTCTTTAATGACGTTTTAAATTAGCTTAGATTTTTTCAGAACGTACAACAAATTTTAAAATTCCTAGATTCTTTTGAAAAGTCATATAGTTTTAATCAAATAAATGCAAGTCAAATAAAATTTTGTGGTAAGAGTTAAAATATGCTATCGATTTAGAATTTCTTGGGAAAAAGTGGCTCTGAAATAAATATTCGGTTATGTTTCGTCTCTAAGAAATATTATGTAATTGTATTCAATTGCGTGATGCCGCATTAATTTGGCTATATTTCTGTAAAGTCTGTTCCCACAAATGTTAAATTAACTTCAATCTCGGTTCAACTTACTTTTTCTAGTTTTAAGAATTAAAATGAAGAATGAGTTGAATCAAAATTAAAATTAATTTACATTTGTGGAAATGAGATTAAAGCGCATATATATGTGCAAAATTTATGCATAATTTCAAAAATAAAAACAATCGTTTTTTACGACGAACAGCGAATTCGAAGGTATGTTAAAAGATCTCGAATTTACATTTACAATAACGAGATAACTTCGGCGTGTTCGGAAATATTATGATAGACAATAAAAAAGATGCAAGTATCAAAAAAGATCGTGCGATTCTTGATTTTACATTTTCCGCGACTAACGATCTGGATTTCTTTGAGGAACGCATTAATTATCGCGTATGATCGGTGTTGAAAAATTTCGCTATAAATGCACCGGTTGCGTAATACTTAACTATACGGGTCCGCGTACAGATTTTTTAGTATTATATTACGGCTGTAAATATGTCAACTATGACGATAATACCGTCATAATAACGAATATAACTCAAATGTAAGGAAGGCCAACATAAAGCAACTAGTTTACATATGGTTAAATTATCGTTCGCAGAACCGCGTATGCGACGAGTCTGTAAGCGAATATTTGCTTCTGAGATTAAAACGGGGAGCTACTCTTACATATATCAAAAGATAACTGCTTGATGTCACCATATATATCTGCGGGAAACCACAGACCATTCATGAAGACGGGTTTTTCTGCAAGCGAAATCTTATCTAAACTGTACGTTTTCTGTCTTTTCGTGAAGCAGGAAGTTGCCTGAGTCATATCTTTTACTTTGTGACGCATATATAAGAACTTCGGGAGAAGATTATGAGAAAATATTTTTCAATATATTTATGAAGCTTAAATATAGAGTATTTACCTTTGCTATATCTTTTCTGTGATTTAAGGTACGTTTTATGCGACGTCATAAAACGAGAAGCATAATTAGTTAAATTTTTCCACGTCATTGTGACTTGGGCCACTTTCATCATCACAAATATCGTAGACAAGCTCGTGAATACGAGCGATTTTCCTCCCAGTACGCGTCTCTACTTAAGGACAATTATATCAAAGTAAATCAAAAGTTCGCGATATCACATATTACTTGCTAAGTTTCACAAAAAAAAAAAATTCTTCGACAGAGGAGAATCGCTTCCCGTGACACGGTTCGTAATATTTTATCATGACCAAGTGCGTTGCAATGCAACGTTTCATTTGATGAATGGCGAAAGACATATCACCGGCCGCGAATGACAATTTTTCGAAATCTGCACGTTTTCGGTGAAGTATACTGTGCAAAAATAAAAAGGAAAGAAAGAGATAATAGGGAGAATATAGCAAATTGCTAGCATCATTGTACAGAATACACACATACACACAATTACAAACACATTCACATGCATACACAACGGGACCGTTTAAAGTTAAGATATTTCTAATTTAATCCGATTTCCGTTTCGAATAATCCATAATTGAATAGCCGAGGGCTGTTTTTACAAAATTTAACAATTACAAGACGTTTCGAATTTCTCAATTTTTCTCGTTGTATAGATTAATTGTTCTGTAATTCGTGTAATTTAGTTATTGCTTGCAACATAGAATTTTTTATTTCTCAGCAACACATATATCTATTTTTCGCATGAGATAATGTTTCGACTATTGTGTTAAGTGAAAAAGTTTTCTACAATCATTTCTTCCAACAAGTGCACACTTGCGAAAGTAAGGCGGTACTGAAAGTTTATAGCGTTGTGTAGGATATTGACTTTTGTAGAAACGGTCCTCACAATTCGGCGCGTAGGTCTTCGCTAGTTCTTTCTTCTCTGGGATGTGAACCAGTTTGCTGAGAGCACTTTCTCCTCGCTCTCTCGGACATGCAACGCGAGAGTGACCGTAGTTTAAAAACCAGTGAAAAAACTTACCTCAGTGACATATACGCAAGAATCAAACGTCTTAAAAAGAATCGAGAATATATACTGTAGTGCCGATGTCCTTTGTATATTTTCCATGATATTGTAAATAGATATACATATATATATATAATATATATATATATATACACGCCTTATATATTAATAATCACGCCGTGCGATAGTCGACGGACACGATTGTTTAAAACGCGAATGTTGACGGACGGTATCAATTAGGTATACGAGCCGTCGAGCGAACGATGTCGGGCGTGTGTGGGTGTGTGTGTGTAATAATGCATCTCCAACAGCGAAAATTGTGGCTTCTAATTATTTGACACGTCGTAATGGAAAGTGAGAAGAAATACTTATAGGGCTATTTTATAAGAACATTCTTTACGGGTCGTTATATGACGTAAGTAGAGTACGTTTAATACACGCCACACGTTTTTATACAACATGAAAGTAAAAGAAAAAAAAAACGGGAGAAATAGTTCTTAAATCATGATATATGTTCTACGCGTACAACTGTGTCCTGTCTTTCAACATGCTGTCTTATTTTTACCATTTAATTCCTTCGTGTCGCGAAGAAAATTTACTTCGATCAAAAGTAATAGATTGTTTAGAAGGGCGAACTTCTTCCTCGATGGCTCAGTCAGCTTGACACCGTAAGTTTAACGAAAGGCCTACATCATTGGAAAACCCGTATGCGTCGCGTCGACTGGACGAGATGATTTTGTTAGAATATTGACGTATTACGGTGTAGTATAAGGAGTATGGTTGACGGTTTAATCGGACGGAGGACTATTTAAACTATTAGGCGCGTGCGACGAATCTTTTGGAAAATTATATATACCGATAGTTATTGGAGCGTGAGTGAGATTCACGAGATTTTCGGCAGATATTTATTGCTCTATTATTATTTATCAAAAGTAGAGTATTTACGGAGCGGTTTCGTTCGCTTGTTGTGTTTTGAGAGAAATATAACGAAGAAACGCGAGCGTGCGGGCCACTTTTTGTCCCTTGTAATGGAATGTACAGTGTGAGTATGTACGCGCGAAAAGTGTGTATATGATGAAAGAGTGTACATGCGCGAAAGAATCGTGATGAAAACGAAGAAACGAAATCCTTTTAGCGAACGAATGCAATTGCAAGAGGCACCAAAAAGAAGGAAATGAGACGGGACTGCAGTTTTTGTTAGTAGGAACAAATGACTTATCGTGATCGCATTACAAATTTATGAGAAACACGACCGAATGCACTTTCGATGTATAATATAAATATTATTGCAGATAACATAGCTATATACGTATTATATCAATTATCAGTGGTATTACACAATAAGAGATGATAATTTTATATTTACGAGAGAGAGAGAGAGAGAGAGAGAGAGAGAGAGA